AATTGTGCCCGGTATGTAGTATTTGCTCACCCCCTATTACATGGGACTCATTACATAAATAGTGAAAAGTGGGTGTGACATTGTACAGTGACATAATGAGCACCTCTGTCTACCCCTTCGGGTATAAAAGGCATGATGTTATGATGATGATGATAATTATTGAACATTATCAGCCACATTATTTTAAAAAATAAACACGAAACTAAAATCCAATTTTCATCCGCTAAAATAACGAGGCAGTTTTTTACAATAGAACAGTTAAAGTTAAATAAAAAAAATTAAAGGAAAATGCCTCAGTAATCCTTTTTATGGATTTGGAAGAATTACCGTATTAGTTAAATATTAGTTCAATACGGTAATTCTCCCAAATCCATAAATTTGCACTAAAGTCGTGAAAATTCCGAATACGGTCGTGTTATAAATAATGTATATTGGAAGTTATTCAATAAAAGTTTCACGCCGATATCATAACTGTGATCGTTTTCTATGCAAATTCATGATTAAACTTTCCTCTGTGGTATTAGTTCGACGACAGTTTAGATTAATAGCTCGTTCTCGATATTTACTATACATACTGACATACAGACGAGCCGTTTAATAGTTGTGATGATTTTCCTATGCAGGTAACATAATATAGCTACGAGTGTCATCTATTTGTCGACCAGTAATATTATGAGCCATTGATTCGGATTCTGATCGTATCTGATGGCCTACATAAACAAAGACTAAATTTATGCTTAATTAAATAAGAAAGCAATGCACAACGTTATTTATGAACTTACATAGAAATTAAAAAGTTACTGTTAGTAAGAATACAGCGGTGTCCAGAACTTTCATATGATGTGATTACTTAACAGTTCCACAGGCTATATATCGCTATTCGACTACACTATGCTACTTGATTGTCATTATAAATAGGGAGATGAGTTCTATGCAACTGAGGAGAAACGGTGGTCGACAGAAGTGCTGCATCGCATAACTTGTGCACTTTCACTCATAGCACGTCCATTTAGACTGCACTACCGTAGGGCAGATGTTCGCTTTACATGATTTTACCTCATACATGTCGATTTACAATCAATATACTGCTAGTAGGCTTATCTTAAATGAAAATTCATAAAATAATGAAAATAGACGATATTTTCTTCGAAAAGTCTTTACTGAATTCATTTTTTGTTACTACTTCCTTCGTTACCACATTTCCCGTGATCCTTTACCTTGTTATCAAGAATACTCTCATAAAATACTTAACCTTACATATACCGCTAAAACTATCTTAACGCTTCAAAGAGCTGGTCATAAACAAATATTAAGCAATATGAATAATGATACCTAATAATAATATACCGAAAATTCGGCACATCCCTGATTGCGATCGGCCTCACATGTTCACGGCTGCAACCTTCGCGTTACGAAACCAGAGCTTTTTCCTTCCGTTCAAGTAACAGTGTGCACATTATTATGCTCCATTGTAATAGAACGTAATGTCCAAGGAAAATCGATCGGAATAATAAACCACGTTCGTACATCGTAGTTTAAAAGTAGACAAGAAGATCATGCAGCGAAACGTGTTGCTTGTAAACACCTCATTAGATGACTTGGAAACTATATTTAGACGATATTGCGTAGTTAGTAGTAAATGAAATATTTACTAAGGACAACGACCGAAAGGTAAATCACCGGCCAGTTGGTCCGATGACATACTGAGATCATGAACTTGCAGAGAGCACTCTGACAAAATGGCTCATTCATGTTCACTATCAGGAGTTGACAGCGCCGTGTATAGTATCAATATCGTGGAATAAACATTCTACTCAGCTCTACGGGTTATTATATCAATTACGGGTGTAGTCAGATGCAATGCTTTAGCTCCGTTTTTTGTTAATTCACTTCTAACAGCTTCGGAACTCCATAAATTATCCATTACGTACAATTATCGAGCCGGCTACGCAAACATTCCATATAAACGGTAGGCGGCGCATCTGCCAGTGGATTCCGCACAATCGCCAGCAATATCACTTTGTTGAAAATAGACGAGTTGCGTAACAGGCTGGGCACTGCCCAGCGCCCTTCGCCTTGGCGACAACGAGCCAAATGTCTTCGGCCCTGACGGACAATTACGAATCATTCATTTGACCAGACTCTTCCTGGGACGTCCGATAACTTCGTGTTGTTTCGCTAATCGGGAAGTGCATACATTTTATAGTCGATTTCTCATCTTAGTGTTCTGTCGGCCAGTACATAAAACATGTGCATTCCTTTTTATTTGTTATTCAGTTGGCTGTGGAAATATTCCGTCTTCAAAATAGAATAATTCACATTCTTCATGTCGACTACTGTTATTATGTTTCCGCGCTCTTATCTTGTCAGCATCAGATCAAGTAATCAACATAGTTCACCCAATGAAGCGGCAAGTGCCGTGGGAGGTATTCGTCCTCTCTTCACCTGCCCTCTGCACTTGATGCAATTTCCCGAGCATGATTGATAAATTGCATATTCTCCTATTTGACTTCACCCTTCAAAAAACCCGGAAGATTGTATAACTGTCTGGATAGTTTTTAAAGAGCTAGGTCATATTCAAGGTGTCCCTTACAATTGTGTTTGACGGGTCGACTAACATTGTTAAATTGCATCCAATGATCTTCCTGGATCGCATCCGCTTAGCATTGCGCCTGTTCTGTGTACAGATAGTACTACTTCAAAATGGAGGCATACTCTTCTGGTACTTTCTGTTAGATGTCTTGAGGTCTTTACCAAGCTTTTGACCTTGTAACATGTAAGTGGCTCACAGTTGAGCAGGTACTGGTGTCAGATAAAAGCGGTTCGTAAAGGTCACAATGACATCACCATTAAATCACAAGGCTCCAATTTCCCTTTCACCAGAACCAGACCGTAGTATGGATAAAATACATAGTTTTTAGCTGGGCTGGCGGGTTGTTTTTCTCAACTTCTAGAAGGGGAGGGAGATAAATAGACGTCATTATGAATACACTTAAGTAAGTGTTGTCTATGTGTAAATATTGGCAGGTGCCTGTATAGGTATTGTGCACGCAACTGGCGCACCTGTCCGAGCCCGCACAGTGTTGGAGCATTTATTTTTATGTCTATTAATTAGCACTCGAGCTTGCGGCAATAGTAATATAAAAACTGTAATTATACATTGTCATTGATTGATTTTCTTATAATATTTTATTGAATTTAAAAAAAACATCTGTTTCTGATCTGAACGGTGATGTGACTCACGAGAAGGCTTAAAATATAAAAATCTATTAAGTCCCCAGAACTGCAATGAGTCTGCATAAGGCATTAAAACGAGCACTGAACATAAGGTCGCAAAGTACTGAGTGACGTAAGCACACTTGCCGGCAGAGCAGTGCCCTCTGACGGCAAGAAGCCGACCTTGGGTCCAAAGCAACTTTCAACCCGGAAGCCGCGGCGTCATTCTAGCTGTCACGTTAAAACCGCTGAATTTTATTTACATTACCCTTATTTGGTGCAAGCTGAATATATGGGGCGTACAGCCTGTGTAATGGATATTTTAATGGGTTTATATATTAAAGTTCGTGCCCTTTGGCGGGGTTTATTAAAGCTGACCTTTGTGACCTGAGAGGAATATAACACTTTTGATTTTATGTTCAGTCCATATCTGGCTTTGCAGAAATAAAATGTAGGGGAAAAGTATCCTTTATTACCGGCTTTTACGAGTTAATTTCAAAGAAATACATTTACTTTTTAAAACAGTTTAATCTGTGTGTATATATTGTATGTAACGAAATTGTTTCAATGTATCGACGGATCATTGCCGGGTATAATTCCACTACATAAAAATATTTATGTTGTAATCACACGGTTCACGTGACAGGGGATCCTGTCCTGTATGCGTATGCGCGAGTATGTCGTACAGTTTAACCTGGCTGCCTTCCAAACTTTGGAGAAACCGTACGACTAGGAATAAGTCAAAATCTAGAAATATTTTCGAAAGTTCATCAACTCCATGTTTGACCTTATTGTTAATGTAAATATTGTGCAGCTCCAGGCACAACATTTGACAGTCAAGGCCAAAAAACTTGTTAAAAGCTTTTAATTAATATAATTTGTTAAAAATATCGTGATTCCAAGCACGCATATTTCTGTCACCTTGTTATTAACGGCTTGAAAACACCAAAAGCCACAAAGGAGGAAAAATCAAAAAAGTTTCCATACGATATAAGCGGCGCGGACCTTGGCGTGGCACTTACGAATTAAATCGGCCCCCGCCGAGGCCGCCTCGCCTTCCGCAACAACACCGCGTATTTGTTCGGCTCTGATTGAATTATAACACTTAAATGTGTCTGCATCCCACTTTGTTGGGCCGATTTAGCAGATCCGTGGTGATAACACGCCTGTACAATCTATCAGAATGTTTGAACATTCGGCAGGCACTAACTAACAGGTCATGGTAAATAGTGTCAATGTTACAGTATCCTGTCTGACCCTGAGGTCAGGTCGTTTAGCCTCGCCGTGTGCACCATGCCATCCGTCACTACTTTGTCCTACATAAGTATTTATGTTTTCTTGAACGGAATAAATTGCCATCGAAAGGGGAACGGAATGTTCTAGAATTCGTGGCTCGTAGAAAAGTTGGATCAAATTGGCAAACTTCCAAGAGATATTGTAATAAAGAGAGACATACGCGCTTCCCGGATCTACGTATAAATGACGCTGATGACGACACAAACAGCTTACCCTACATTGGAGGCTTTATTTACGTTCATATTCGGCCCTGAAAACCGGCTTATCTTTATGGTAATATATATAACTGGAGATTTGTATTTTCTAATAAACGTACGAACATTTTTGTTCTTAAATCCTTATTAAACGTCTAGAAAAATGTTCAGAGGAAACCGTTCAAATATGTCATGATTTGCAGATGGAATCTCTAAGATAAATACCTTGATAAGAGCTATTACAGACTAACTAAAACACAACTCGTTTATAAAGCTTTAACTTGAGTAACTTACCATAGAGCCTGGTGGTGTATTGCTATGCTGGAAGGCAGGTGTCCATGTGAACACATGGGGCAGGGAGTCACCACGCGCTGTCATGCAACGTTCCGTCTGAAACAAAGAATACGAACATTACTCATCGCCCTTTACAAGGCCCTTCCCGCCAGCTAGTTTAAAACATTTCCAGTGGTATTTTCCATTGTGAGTAAATGAGTAATTTTTTTTTTTCCAAATACTACAGTTATTTGTATTTTGGTGTAAATATTAACAGAATGCGTTGTTATTTCTGTTAACTGTCAGGCTTGTTTGCGTAGTCCCATAGGACGAAGGGGACTGGTAACACGGTAGAGTTTAATAAGTGACATTGTTTTGCTGAACAAACAAATTGTTTATTACAAAACTCTACAGTAAAACATGATTTTTGTAATAACTGTTACAGCAAACGTAAGATGTACTTCGAATATCTTAAAAAACTATCATACAATATTTCTTATTCTTTTGTCCACAGATAATAACACGTAGCCACTCAGGAGTGAGAGGTGTACTACATGCGACCCTGGTGGCTTTTGATAAACATTGGAACATGGCGCTCAGTGATGTCCTAGAAGTTTGGCAGAAAAAGAGGGTGAAACAAAGGAAGATCCCTCCTGTAATGGGTAAGATAAAGATTTTAGGGGTTAATAGTAATATTCGATATTTATGGAAACTCTTGTTCTAATATCAATGTTATAAAAAAACAGGTAAACCAGTACCGAAAGGCACAGCGGCAACAATCTCTACAATCCCGACTGTGACAGAAACTCCTCTGGGGAAGGGAATATTCGAATGCCAGAGACACGTGCCACAGATGATGATGCGTGGTGAACACATAGTACTAATCAACGTGGTGGAGCGGTGACCTCTTCTAAACACTGCCAGCCTGGTAGTTCGAATATGTGTTGCGACTTTTTGTGCGACCTATGTTGTAATCTTTACGTGTTAACTTTTTGTATCACTTGCTAGTTACTATTATAATATTTTGATAGTTTATGATAGTATCTAATACGCTTATCGATCATAGATCGCTAGAATTTAATCGATGGTGCTGCGATTGAGCTAGAAAATATGTTGCAACTGGTTATAGCTTAGTGTTCAAATGAGCCTTAAACAAAGTTATTTTTATAATCAAAAAAGTTTGTGTACTTTTTAATGACAATAAAATGTTCTCACTGACATTCCCATGCGTTTCCAATGTCCCAGTATTGTCAGCGTATAAAATAAAATAAAATCCACACAATGCTTGTTTTGAGGAACGTTATTCGATTTTTAAATGATATTCCATGAGAACGGGCCGCCATTGAAATTACGAACATTACACCCAATTAAATACATACTATGTATTTTGAGTTTTTTAAATGGATTCTCTTTTATTTTGACGTGAACATCTATAAAGTTGTAAATATAGATATTTGCTCATAATGTTGGTGTAGCGCCACAAACCACAGGATCCACAAATTATACACTTTGCATACGTAATTTCAAAGACAGGATATGTTATTATAACGGGATTTCACTGTTACAATCCTATAGTAAAGTCCTGTACTGTTGGTGGTATCAATAAACGGGAGCACTGAGGCGTACGACACATGCCTACAGGAAACATACGCACTGTCGAACATATCTGCATAAATATAAAGAACTTTATTGGTTTTTGTAACGAAATCTTCGATAATGTGTGGAAATTAATTCATTTATTGTGGCAGTGTCTTTGTTTTGTAAAGTGTGACTTCTGAGCAAGCTGATGGTAATAAGTGCGTGCTGTTTGTGTATCCGGGATCCCATCGGTGCTAGGATATATGTTGCCAGTGTACGGTAATTTGCGGGTGAGCATCCCAGGTCGGTTGACACGGAAGCGCACACGCATTGTGCGCAACAATAGTTTCCCCATTTTCCCGCGGCCGGGGAACGGCCGACGTGACCGCGGCAAGTCCGTCGACCCCGGGACAAGAGACGCGGGACGCTTTTCGCGTGCGCAAACGCAGACCTACCGAAATATGAGACTTTTTGTTTTGAAGAATGTAGCTTCCAAGAAAATTATGCTCTTTATTACAATTGTGTATATTTTCCTGTTAAAATAATTATATCCTATAATAAACATGAAATAACCTTTATAAAATGTAATAAGATGATAAAACTCTCATAAATTATTTTGCTATTTGGTTGGATTGTTTGCCCTTAAAATTAAATACGATACAATGATTAAGAAAGTTGTATAAACTGTTAAGATACCTACTCTAAGAGCTAACGACAAAGTTAGTAGAATCATAATATAATTAAACTGTACAACTTTTCATAATCTTGTTTATTAAGAAGTCTCTGACATTGAAAATAATTTGTACTTACTAGTTGTTTGAATAATTAAAACAAACTCATACTTGAGTTTGTTTTAATTATTCTAAACAGGCTTATCTCCTAAGGAGACTTGTGTGGCATTTTTGAAATAATTATTCTAATTAAGACATTAATAGAAAACTAGAATGCATCAGCTGCTAATCCTGCGCAGGTTGTAAGTGTCGATTGGATAACTTGGATCGGGAATGTGTTTAGCAGCCTTTGGCTTAATGTGTACAATTTGTCATTCTAACGGCCGAGCACATGGCCCCACGGTGGGCGTCAATTACACACCGGCCTAAGGTGTAAAGAGAAATGCTATTTATTTTTTAAATATACATTTAACTCTTTCTTTCTGCCACAAGTTAAACAAACTTCACAATTTCCCACACAAACTGTGACGACATGAAAAGAATCTCATGTTGTGAGCAATGCATCATGTCTATTTCTGTTTGAAATCGATCAAGAGACAATGGCCGGTCGGGGCGACGCACCCTGGCCGTCGGCCAACGCCCAGGAGGGTAGCAAACAATCATCGCTGTAACACTTGACACCCAGAGAGAAAACATATGGACCTGACCTGAAATGTGCATAGCTTATTTTGATAGGTTCCTTAACTACTCGTTCACTTATGGACATATTTTAGCCTGATTGTTACTGTTTTTTGATGTTTATTATGTCAGCCATCTTTATTTCGACATGACAGTTGTTAGTGCTAAGTTTAATAAAACGTTTCGTAGTTTCTTCGACTATTCATTCTGCCGTGAGAAAAGTTCGTTTTTTTTTCAATGGATTGGTTTCATCTGAATGCAGTATTTTTTACGAAAACATAACAATCGAAACAATTTTCTTTTCAATTGTTATTATGATAACTAATCAGGAAACGTGTTCCGTTATCGAATGCACTTAAAAACTTGTAGTGTTTTGTTCCACACATTATTATGTTATTGAAACTGTTCAAGTGCTCGAATTCGCAAACATGTGTCATTTTTGTTTACTACTGCAGTATTTACATTATGTTAAATGGTCTAGAAATCTGAATAAATCGGTCGCTTGTATAATTCATTAATTGTCACCGTCAACCTTCGCGGTGACCTTACACGACTGATTTTAAATATATACGCGGAAGTGGCGGCGGGTCTCGAACGATTTGACAACAAATTAAGAACGTTTGTTTATAATATTGTTTATAAATACGCGAGGACGGTTATATAATGGCGATAATATTGTATTAGATAATGTTCGTATTATATTTGTAACCTTGCTGGCTGCGAAGAATGGACCGCTCTTTTATCTGATTTCTCTACGAGCACAATAGGTCTTAGAAGCACTTCGACAAAGCTCAATTTGTATATCTGATAGTCAGTAGTCACGGATCTCTTCTCGAGGTAAATTAGTGTAGGTAAGTGCCAGTATAACTTTTATTAAGGAAATCAATTTTCTACTTTGATATGTTATCAGCTAGGTGAAAACTAAAATAAAAATATAAAATAGCATTAACCAAATTACTATGATATTTGATTTCTATTCACTATTCTTGTTCTTAAAACGAGTTGCAGTTTATTTCTGCTAACATATTATCGTCATAATTTCACAGCGGTTGTCTCTTTTTGTGAAGCACTCTCATAGGTACATGCTTTTGGTAGTAAACAGCGTGTTCGTCCAAGCATGTGGATAATGGACTGTAGGCGTGGGTAGCTGATATTAATAGCGTTGCCTTTGAACAATAATATATCAGGGATGACAGACTACAAGAGAAATAACTTGCTTTACACGTGATCAACGATCACATAATGTGAAAACTTTAATTTTGTCGTAAAAACTTTGGAAACTAAACCTGCATACATAAAGGCTAAGATGAGAATGATTTTAAAAGGATTACAATTGTTTTCTATGTCTTAAAACAGAATGAAAATTGAAAGTAACCGGCGCACAAATTGTCAAAGGTCACAAAGTGTACAAAAGCTGGTTGATTATACATTTGTAGTAGAGGTCGCTAGCGCTGCATAGAGGCCATTGTGAGATGATTATCTAGAGGTGAGAGATCGACTTGCCTTCTACAAATTAGTATGATTATGTACTTTGTGTTGTAAGTTGTAAAGATGAAGTAGTTAATGGGTTAAAGTACTTGCAAATTATCAGCTAGCTTATGGCATTTTCATGCTGAAAGTACCTACTCAATGTCAATTAATGTCGTTCATATACCATAGGCCATTTCTAAGTCAATTAGGGAAGCGAAATGGATTGGTAGTGTAATTATTCTGGCTTGCAACAAAGCTATGGAGTAATGATGATAAATGTTATCAATTTGAAACCCACTGCTTCTGGCACAGAAATAAAGTTGTTCCTATGAAGTAGCGCATGAGAGAACTGTGGGGGATCACGTCGGGGTCACCAATGTGGGGGATCACGTCGGGGTCACCAATGTGGGGGTTCTCATGTGTTTTTGTCGAGGTGGATAAATGATGCGCTTCATTTTATTTGGGGATATAATTCTGGTACCAGTTACATGATATATACTTAAAAATGACGACCTACTAGTTCGGTTGCGGGAAGACGACTGCCGTGCGACGCCAGCGCACGTACGCGCTTGGGAACACAAAAGTACAGCGTCAACAGTGTGTCCCTACAAGAACTATTTCTAAACGTCTGCAGGAGGGCCTATATAGGAATGAGATCTTAAAATAAATTTATAATTTGGGTCATAGACGTTAGATCGTTTCAAAAGTGTGATAACGGTCACCGGTCACCTGTCGCCTATAAAATTAGTCTTGATCGACATGGGATACATAAACTGAAAGCATCTCTGGCATCCAAGATCTCCCGAATAAAATATGTATAATAATAAAAATATAGTGCAAACTTTCACCGGAGAAGTTCCGGCGTTAGGCGAGGGTGAGTATAAATAGCGGCGGTTGCGCAACGCGGCCGATGCACTGCGCGCGCGCATCGACACCGACACTGCCGATTGGGATTAACGTTAACTGCAGTTAGCGGAGCAAGTTAAACCGCACGTTAGGATAAACTTACCAAAAAGCTTCTAGAATAACATGGGTACTCTTTAAACCGTACCTGAACATGCAAATGAAACCTTAGCGGCAGCTTTTATGGGATAATACCAGCAAAAACAGGCTCTACTTAGCAGCACATCCATAAAGGGACTTGCCATAATTTTTTTGTTTAGCAATAAACACCAACATATTTTTAAGATCAAAAACAAGTGTATATGTAGTTATAGTATCGTATATAGACACGTTAAATGTATCGACATTACTGGTAAGGCGAACTGGTCTCGACAAGGCGACACTTCCGCCTTATGTACCGGCTGTATATAATGTATATGTATTATATGTTGCGTCCAATGTCGTCCACTATTCTTTTTTCCAACCTTGGTGACTTGGTGACTCGGCTCCGGCTACTAGTGTGCAAGAAATTGGAATGTATGGAGATTCCAGTGTCGGCACCTCGCCTAGCGTCACGTGTGTTCGCATGCGTAGGCGCATGCACAAGAATGTGCTAAAGATTCTTTGCTTTTTATGGTAACTTGCAGCGAAATGCATATTTGAATGTGAGAGAAGTATAACATTCACAGTTTTTAATCCAGAAAAACCAAACTTCTTTGCATCAGCAGATTTTAAAATAGTAAGTAGTGCTGGAATCATTTCCAAGTGTCCTTAGTTCTGCAAAACAAAAATTAAACTCCAGTTAAACCGCTCCTTAACGCTGCGCGCGCGCACCCGCCCGTGTTCACTTTACTCTTTTTGTATTCGTTCTTGCAGCTAACTTGGGATTGGCTTGACCCATTTACCGCAAATAGACGCAGCCGGGATTCAAACGCGCGCCCAAACGACACGTGGCGAGCGGCTTATGGTATTCGCGTTTTAAAATACTGGACGCCTTGCTGATGAGTCAGCTTAGCATCCGCTGTCGAGATTTATATGGAAATGTGTACTCATTATTTAACCATTACTGTAAGAATTTACAATCAATTAGTATACTGTGCTGCTTGTCAGGAAACTCCTGTATCCATTTCAATTTGAACAGACCCTGGAAAAATTTCACCGCTCAAGAACAAAAACAAAATA